TCTCTCTCTCTCTCTTTTCTCTCTCTCCTTTCTCTTATCTCTCTCTCTCTCTCTCTCTCTCTCTCTCTCTCTCTCTCTCTGCTGTCTCTTCTCTCTTCTCTCTCTCTAGTCTCTCTCTCTGCTGTTTCTTCTCTCTCTCTGCTGTCTCTCTTCTCTCTCTCTCTCTTTCCTCTCTCTGCTTTCTCTTATCTCTCTCTCTCTCTGCTGTCTCTTCTCTCTCTCTGTGGTCTCTCTTCTCTCTCTCTCTCTTTCCTCTCTCTGCTTTCTCTTATCTCTCTCTCTCTCTGCTGTCTCTTCTCTCTTCTCTCTCTCTAGTCTCTCTCTCTCTCTCTCTGCTGTCTCTTCTCTCTGCTATCTCTCTTTTCTCTCTAGTCTCTCTCTCTCTCTCTGCTGTCTCTCTCTTCTCTCTCTCTGCGGTCTCTCTCTTCTCTCTCTCTGCTGTCTCTTCTGGCTGTTCTTTCTTACCTGCAGCTTCACAGGTCTCCTCTCAGGTGCGGTGTCCTGTCCTCCTGCGGTGCTCGTGTGGCTGAATGTGCAGACTGGGACTGGTGTCCCGCCCCTTCTCGAGGTGTCCCGCCCCTTCTCGAGGTGTCCCTCCCCTTCTCGTCTGCAGCATGTGATTAATTCAGCCGCACGAGGGAGGACAGGACACAGGTCAGGGAGCCGATCGCCATCTACCAGTGTTGCTTTGCGATCGATCTAATGGGCGCCCCCGTTCTATATGCTATGCTGTACATTACATAGTTCTGACCTCTAAACTCTATAGATTGTGTTGTGAATTGCATTGTCCTGACCCCTGCATTCTATACGCTATAGATAGGGCTAGCAAGGTGTTCTCTTCAATTCCCTGACTAGATCCCACTTGTTGGTTAGCTGGAATATTTGTGGAATATGAAAATAATATTGTAAAAACAAAATCTTAGAAACAACTATGAGAATGCCTAGAGAAAGATTTGCTAACATTTCTCTTTTCTTTCTTCTTCCAGTACGTGGCATTTGCCTCGCTCTTCTTCATTCTGGTCTCCATCACCACCTTCTGCCTGGAGACTCATGAGCGGTTTAACCCCATCAAGAACAAAACTGAGATTGAAACAATAGGAAATGAGACCCACGAACGTCACTACAGGGAATCGGAGACAGAAGCCTTCCTGACCTACATCGAAGGGGTCTGCGTGGTCTGGTTTACATTTGAGTTTCTCATGAGGATTACTTTCTGCCCAAACAAGGTGGAATTTATCAAAAATACTTTAAACATCATTGACTTTGTTGCCATTCTGCCTTTCTATCTGGAGGTTGGACTTAGTGGCCTGTCTTCCAAAGCTGCTAAGGATGTCTTGGGCTTCTTAAGAGTTGTTCGATTTGTGCGAATTCTTCGAATTTTCAAGCTGACGAGGCATTTTGTAGGCTTGAGGGTCCTAGGACATACCCTCCGTGCTAGCACAAATGAGTTCTTGCTGCTTATCATATTTCTGGCATTGGGAGTTTTAATCTTTGCTACAATGATCTATTATGCTGAGAGAATAGGTGCTAATCCTAATGATCCTAGTGCCAGTGAACACACACACTTCAAAAATATTCCCATTGGCTTTTGGTGGGCTGTCGTCACCATGACCACCCTTGGCTACGGAGACATGTATCCTCAGACGTGGTCAGGCATGCTTGTGGGAGCCCTATGTGCTCTTGCTGGTGTGCTGACTATTGCAATGCCTGTACCTGTCATTGTGAACAATTTTGGAATGTATTATTCCTTAGCTATGGCTAAGCAGAAGCTACCAAAGAAAAAAAAGAAGCATATACCACGTCCACCCCAACTGGGATCCCCAAATTATTGTAAATCAGTTGTAAACTCGCCACATCACAGTACGCAGAGCGAAACTTGCCCGCTCGCACAAGAGGAAATTTTAGAAATGAACAGAGCAGGTAGGAAACCGCTTAGAGGAATGTCCATTTGATCACCATCATCTATTCCTTGTAGTAAATTAAGAGTCAATCAACCTTCTAAGTAGAAAATGCTGAAGGCATTTATCCATTGATGGTGCCATATCACACATTGCAGGTTATGTGTGAGGAGGATCACAAGATTTCTGGGATGTGTACGCTGAGTCAGTAGAAGTTTTAGGTTAGGCGACGCTTATTTTTCATAGCTGGAAAGATATACGCAAACCAAGTGATCAGTGCTACACAGGAGACTCTGGGACTTGTGGAAAGGAGTTCACCTCCTCCAACAATGAGCTGGGTCAGCTGTACAGATGCAGAAATATGGAAATGATTCAGTGATCAAAGCATGACCACAGTAGAGAAATGAGACAGATCATTGCAGGTAGATCTGTAGCTTAATGTATTAAAGCAGAACAAGCGTCTCATTAGGAGCCAAATCTAGCTGTAATCTAGAAATGTTACTCTTCAGCATGTGAGGGCATCTCATACACTATACTATGTGCCGGAATAGCGCTGGCAAAGGTGAAATCATAAGCATAGTAGGAAGACTTGTCTAATATCTCTTCTAATATGACAGAAAGGCGATAGCAGTGCTCGCTGTGTGACAATCTGATCCATGCCAGCAATATGCCCAGTAGCAGCCAGTATGGAGGAGCATGCATTGTGTGTCATGGCTAGTGGCTATTTCTCCAGTCCTCTCAGTTTTATGAGATGTTTTCAATGGGGCTGTGATCTGATCATTTCCCCATGCTCTACCTCTACCTGTGGAATATTGTCCTGGGTATTAATGGAGAACATATGGAAACCAATACAGTGATGAATTCCATGAGCTCGTCTGGCACTATGTATGCAGACAGACAAATGTAGGCTCTGTAGGTCTGTGCATATATAGACATATACAGATCATACACAATTCTCTATAGTAGTTCACCAGCAAACATGCCTTTCCCAAAAATCGGAGAATGTACTGGGAGTCAGCAGAATTCTTACTGTATAATTATCTCAACTTTTTGGCAGCAAATTGCAATCAGTAATTCAGCTGTTCTCTCTTTTGTGTTTCCATTTCATGCATGCTGACCCATAATGTGGGAACAACAAAGCCAGCCAGAGTTTTTCTGTTAATCTTTCCTGCTCCCTGTAGGGGAAATTTTTAAATGCAGAATTTGTGAATTGGATATTAATTGAAATCAATATCTGACACTCACACGTACTGTACACTATCACCAGGCCCTTCTGGGAATGTTTAGTGAAACTTTGTTTTTCCCATATCAGAAATTCATCAGTTCATGTCATCTTGTTCTGTAAGATCTGCGTCTATTATGTGCTTTTTCATACAGATATAGTCATTTTACTCCAGGGAAGAAAATGATTGTCGGCAGTATTAGCTAGGCATAGGAAGAAAGGAAAACATCAGAATGAATCTTAGATATTAAATCACCACATGGAATACATCATGATGATAAAGGAATTCCTAGTGCATGTTACTAACTGCATTATGTGATTCATGTGAGATTACTGTGCCATAGCAGGTGGGGTTACCCAATACACCATACTATATCCAAAGGGGGTGCCCAGACCTGATGGGGGTGCCCACTGCACCATGCCAAGTAGGGTGTGCCACCGATATGTGATATACACCTGGCCCAAACCCGCAGTACGTCAATCACACGTGACTATATGCCGTTCAGAAGCAAGGACGTGGTGATACCACTCTCAGCCTCACCCTGCACAGAGACTTCCCAGCTTGCAGTTAACAATTTTCAGACCAGCAGACTGAGAGCAATCACCACTAGGGTCGGTTAACTCCACAGTTAACCCTTTACAGACCAAATGTTCACTGCCACCACATACTTAAATGGAAACACGGACCGGTCCCAGCAAGTGCTGTGACACTTCACAAAAAAATCATCATCATTTCTGCTTTGGAACTCTATCTCCCTTTTAGGGATATGACCACCAAGGTCTACTGATGAATACCATGTAGCCAAAAGGCTAGTAAGTGGAACATTTCCACAGTACATTGTAATACTATGTCACTTATATCTCTGAGTAGATCTAACATTGCCGTCCCATAATTCTACAAAAATATAAATCCACATTTGTCTGCTGCCCATATCCCTTTTATTGCAATAGAATTCATTTTCTTCTAGAATGCTTCCACTAAACTGATGGATCTCTGTTGGCTTTTCATAATGTAATGGACAAAGGCATGAAAGTTAGGAGAACAATAACGAAATTGGCAACCCCTCACACTTCCCCATTGATATTGACAATTCAGCAGCATGACCAACATTAATGCCTGAAGTGATCACATCAAATATTGCCATGTTATCATTTTCATGATTATTATTTAAGCTTTTAAAGCCCCCTCCCAGAATGAATCTGTCACGTATGTCACACCTGTTGGGGATGAAGGGGTTGTGGATCGCAACTGCGGAGGCTTCTCAGTCAGTGAAACCCTGGTTTCACTCTCAACAGCAGGGTTCACCTTGCAAATATGTGAAACGTTACCTTCCATCTTCTTTTTGAGGAGGGGACAGGTAGCGACAATATGGTCTGGAGATGAGCAGTACAAACAAAGGTTGCGGGCTCTTCTCCTCTCCTTTTCGACTTGAGATAACGGCCCCAATGGAGGGTCCCAGGAGACAGCAGGCGTTCTGGCTCAATAGTGGAACGCCATGCTGTCTCGTCTGGGCTCTTATATAGTGCTGTACTGTTTGGGGAGGAGCCGCCGAACGGATAGGCGCACTTCCGCGTTCCAGAGTGGAACGCACCCGGCCTTCGAACCCGGAAGTGACGAGCGGGCGTTCCACCGTGGAACGCAGCGGCGGATCCGAGATGCGGCTGGCTCCCGATCATCAAGGTATACGGCGGTGGCCGTTACAGAATCATCCTGAAATGTTCTATGATCAAATCAAGTGTCTAGTACAGAATAATGTCCGGTAACTACATAATGCCTTAAAAGGTTAGGTGACTTATCTCTGCACACCTTGTCTGCTGAGAGGAGTTACGCCTTTACATTACATTCTAGTGATATGGCCGCTGCTCGGGGGCCAATGTTGCCGAGTCCATTAGAACAACATTCATTGACTCTGCAACCCTCCAGTCTGTTTAAATTTTTTTTTCCTAGCTGGAAACCTGGAAAATGTCAAATGGATTTGCAGTGAGCGTTCTTAGGTGGGCTGCATTACTGCTGGTAACGCTCATTGACACTAGTGCCATGGTGATAACCACACCCTCTGTAGTGCTATAGATTATAGGGTGCATGTCTTTGACAGCCAGGCTGATGACCACTTGGTGGGATGATGCAGGGCATTGTGAACCCACAGCTGGAGGGGAGCCAATGAGCTATATTTCCCAGACAGTCAAAATACAAGTTATGTAATATCCATTGAAATGTGAAGCTGAAATGGGGCTTTTTTATATTCAAATAACTACTCGAGTCACTGCCATTCCAAGATACCTGAGGGGGCGACATTTCCTAACGATCGAAGATTCTCAGAATCAGTAATAAAGAAAATAAAAAAATCATGCATTGCCATTGAAGACCGAGCTCATGTTCCCAGGTCCTCACAGGGCAGCTTTCTGTCCTGTTCTGTGCTGCCCTTCACAATGTACTCTGCGAGGCAGAAATGGCCCCAGATCCAGGGTTACCAGGTTTAAGGGGCAGGCAGATTCCACAGGGGCCCCAGCTCTGAAGTTACCATATACAGTCTACCAAGAGGGGAAGGTGTAGGTGGATTCCACATGGTCCTGAGCTCTAGGGTTACCATGTACAGTCTACCAGGGGGAGGGACAGGAAGATTACAAAGGGGTCTTAGCTCCATGGTCCCAATAAATAGTTTACTAGTGGTAAGGGGCAAATATATTCCACAGGGGTTCCTGCTCCAGGCTTACTACCCTGTTTCCCTGAAAATAAAACACTGTCTTATATTTTTTTTGCCCACAAAAAACACACAAGGTCTTATTTTCAGGGGATGTCTTTTTTTTTTTAATGTGCAACAAAATGTACAACAATCCAAAGTTATCTGGTGTGACTCCGCCTGCTCCCTGCGTCGCCACAGCCTTGCTTTCTACAGCGCCGGCTTCCTTTGCCATCAGGGACAGCGGTACCAGTGGTGCAGCGGACAGTGGACAGTGAGGTAAAGTACGGTATCATTTACCGGTACACATTACAGTACAGTACCATGACATTAAGCAGTGCCTTCAGGGGGACAACAGTGGGTGAAGTCTGGTACTGGAGTGCTCCCTATCACTGCGCTGGCCGGAGGGAGTCCCCTGTCATCCGCTTAATACAGTATGTCTCTGCAGGCTGATACCATGTCTCCTGCTCTTCAAGTTCCCCCTCACATGCTACCACCAAACTAGGTCTTATTTTCGGGGTAGGTCTTATATTCGGGGAAACAGGGTATGTATAGTTTCCCAGGGCTAGAGGGCAGGCATATTCCCCAGGCCCCAGCTTCGGGTTTACAATATACAGCTTATAAAGGGGAAAGGTCAGGCATATGTTATATTGGGTCTCTATAAAGTGGTATTACAATTAGCAAACAGGTTGCATGTGGTCTGTATGAAAAATAGTAGATGCGGCACGGCACAACAAACGCGCACCTCACTGTGGCTGTCACTTGTCACATTTGAATAAAGTTCTGAAAAAACAAAATTCACAGTGTGATGTGCCGGGATCAGCGATCAGCACTGAGCTGGACATCATACACCATCTGCTGTGCGATTTAGCATAGTGACTGGTGTGAAAGGGACCTCAGTGAATGCGTTTTATGGGGATTGTAAGGTGTGGTGTAGAATAGTGAACAGGTTGTACTCGTTCTGTACATTGTCATATAGAATAGCGAGTGGATTGAATAGTGTCTGTATGTGTGTGGTGCAGAATTATTAGACGTGTTGTATGGGGTCTGTATGTGTGTGGTGCAGAATTAGTGAACGGGTTGCATGGGGTCTGTATGTGTGTAATGCAGAATTAGTGA